AATATTTATATTAACAAAATAGCAAAAATGTAAAATGACTATAACTCAATAAAAAATGTAGAAAAAGAAAACAGAATAGCAACTTTCTTCATGTTAAATGCAGAAAAAAATTTCTAATCATACAATGGTTAATTGAAGAGATATTTGGTAGAAAGGGATTAAGACTGACAACTGGCACAGGTTTGAAAATCACTGAAAAATTTTATAACAAGCATTTTTCAAATATTAACTAGACAAAAAAGGTTTATTAAAAAATCAATTTTTATGAAATCGTTGCCCAAGAGCCATAAGATATGTGAGCACAGACACTAAAGGGGAGCAACTGAACAGGAAGAAGAATTTCCCAACAATATAAGCTGTCTCATAGTGGTGGGGAGGGGAGAATTCTTGCCCCAAGGGCTCAGCTGAAATATGATCACATTGTCCAAAGTGGACACAATCACAATTCAGACAGCTGGTTTTAAGGTCCCTCCAACACTAAGATCAAATACTCTGACTCTCAATAAAGGAATTAGAACTGATGCACTGGTAGTTACCAACAAAAATAAAATTATTTCCTATAAATAGATGACTTCTTTCTGTACTTTTCTCCATTTTAATCAAAACAGCATTAGACATGTGTCAAAAGGCCCATTCTGAACAATGAAACCATCTGAGTCTTATTCCGACATGAGCTCAGGCGGTGCATGATTTCATCCTTCATTGTTTCAGGCTTGACTTAGCTACAATAATCACTGCACAGGAAAAGCTTTTGCTATTGCTGCCTCTCCTCAGAAGTCACAAGGCCTCTTCTTACCTATTCATTAAAGGAAGAAAGTCCTTTAGGGAAGAAGATACTATTAATCAGGAGGGGATTAATATTGCCCCAATGAGCAAATATAATGAAAAACAATGATAAACTCTCTCTGCCTCCAAATCCACATTCACTGTGGGGGGCACTTATTTGCAGAAGAGTAATTGCAAGGATCAGTGCCATTTGTCACTGTTTATTCTGGAGTTTGTGGGAGGAGAAGTGAAAACATATTTTCCCTTTCTTGTTATCAACTGAAAAACAGCTACTCCTTCAAACATGTTGAATTAAAATGAAAAACATGAGAAAGGCAAATATTATAATCATACCCCATGTATAAAGCAAAGAATAGTGACTCCAGATAAGTACTGGTCCTCCAATATGTCTTTAAAATGCTTCCTCTCTAAATACCATGACATTTTAATTTTAAAAGTATTTGGTAACAATGTTTCTAAAGTGACATATTTTATTTATGGTTCATGGTTATGACTATGATCATAAGTTAAACTTTTTTTCCTGTAAACTTGGGATTCCTCCAGGGACTACAGGTCTACAGGACTGTTTGCCCTTCTGCCACCCAGTTGTCCCAGAGCTATGCTTTCTGAGACAGTTTTCCTCAACATGATGCTATCTATTGTCACTGATCAGGGTTGTCACATGCCTGACTCGTTCCATGAGCTGCCACCATCTAATTAAAAATCTTTTGTGGGATGTGAATCAGAGAGCCATAATCATGAGACTTTTATGTCAACTTTCACAAATGAGGGCCTCTCCAAAAGAATAAGGATAGTGGATACTGGGATAGCTTTTAGCAGCTCATTGATTCCTTTCAATTTACTATGAGCTCTCAGCTAGCAATAAGAAAGCAGTATTTGCAGAAATCTGACTGTAATGGGGTATTACTTTATATGGGTTACTTACCAATTTTTCCTTTTTCTTATGGGCTCTCCCCTTTTTTCTTTCAATTAATGTGTCACTTTTCAACCTGCAGAAGATGGACATGGATACTCATAAGAGCTAGGTTCTCTTTTTTCTCTCTTGTCAGTATGCCTATTTTGATGCAATTATCTCTTTTCACATTTCTGTTTCCAATCTATTCAGTCTTTGGAAAGCAGATCACCAAGCTTATATCCTAACTTGCAGTGTAGAACTCTTGGGTT